ATATGATTAGGGAGTGAGCTAAAGACTATTGAGAAAAGGAGAGTTTAGAGAGAGAGACACAGAGAGAGAGAGAGAAAGAGAAAAAGGGGGGGGAGAAGGGGAGAGATGGGGAGAGAGTGAGAGAAAGAAACTGAGAAAAAGAGAGGGGTGTGCCTCAGGGGAGGAAGAGAAGCAAGTAAAGGAGGGTGTGTCTCAGTCTCAGGGAAAAGTGGTAACGTTGTGAAGTAAGATGTCACCGGAGAATGAAAGAGACAGGAACGTTGTAGGCCAAGCTGACATGGGAAGGAAACGAGTGAGGAAGGTCACGTGTCACAGCACCTGGTGTGATCCACAATTCATTCAGGAACAATTAGTGGATAATTTGACTCTATCTTAGTAGTTGGTGAAAACGGCCCTATCAGTGCAGTATACCTAAGTCAACTAAGTGAAAATGTTGCATTATCGGATGAAGAATTTATAGTCCACAACTTGCGGGGCCTAGACGCAATATTTATGCAGAGAAAGAGGAGATTGGGGATAAGGAGAGGGAGGAGGGGGGGCAAAGGGAGGGAGGAAGAGAAGGAAGAGAGGAGGGGGAGGAAGGGGAGGGAGGGGAGGGAGGAAGAGAAGGAAGAGAGGGGGTGAGGAGGAAGAAGAGCAGAAGCAAAAGGGAGGAGTGAGGGTGGGAGGACGAGAAGGAAGAGGAAGAGAAGAAGAAGAAAAGCAGCAATGTCAACAACAACAGCAAAAGTCTGCCAAGAGTCCAGAACCAAGCTGTCAACCCCCCCCTCCCCCACCCACACTCTCACTCCTTCTCCTTCCTCCCCAGACCACGGCATAGACCCTATAAGAGACCATCCGTGCAGTTAGTCTGTCGACTGCACTCGCTTGTGCGTGCCTCTAATAATGGCCTCATGGCCTCTACCCATTACCGGACGCCTTTTCGGGAAATGGGAGCTCACGAGCTACCCAAATGTATGGGGTGTCTGTACTGCAGACCCTGGCAGACGAGATTGAGCCGGGGCACTGCATGAACGCCCCGCCAGTGTAGACAATAGACTTTTGGGCCCATAAATCTGAATCTCAAAGGGTTTCTGGTCTACGGGCTGATGGGACCGTTTCAGAGATGTAAATCCACCCGCCGCAGGGAAAGAATGTTCTTTTCTTTTTTGGGGGGTACTCAATCCTTATACAATTTCATCTTTGCACGTTTGATTTACCTAAAAGTGAGTTAAAGTATTTCTGCCACTAGGGACAGTACAACTAAAACAGAGTAGGCCAGTCTGACATGATAATTATTTCGTCGAGTAATTAAATTTTACCAAAAAGTACATAATAAGTAAAGAAAAACCTCTAGCATCATGGGATGAAAAACTCGCAATCGATTATCCCTTATACCTCGAATGAAAATAAAGAGAAGAGGGGAGGGGAGAGAAGGGGGAGGGGGAGGAGAACCAGGTGGCCACAAAAATGTGTTTTCAGTGGGCATTCCTGTTTACCAGAAGATACCAGAAGAAGTAAAAGTAAAGTACAGTCAAGTATTCCTGTTTAGGGATTTCTAAAATAGGTGTGAGTAACCCGATTTTGTATCATTTGTTAAACTAAACATGGCGGGCTTTAAGTGAACTAGTTCACTGACATTTAATGATTAGGTACAGCCTGCTATATTTGAGATTATCCCCATCCCCTCTTGTCATCATTGTCTTTCCAAACTGCTGTAAGCGCATACTTTCAACACAAGTATCTAACTGACAGGTAAAACTGTTGGAGCGCAGTAATGGCCAACGCCTTCAAAGCAACTAGGGAGGAACAATAGTTGCGAGCGTCCTCAGTTCTATGGCTTCTAAATATCCCCTGAAAGCAATTTGACATACGAGTCCATTACGATGAATAGCATTCAATCCCCTCCCCCCCCCCCAACAACCCCACCCCATTCCCTCTTCCTTTCCTTCCTCTTCATCTCCCCTTTCTCTCTTCCCCTTCACCCCCTCCTTCACTTTACCCCCTCTCCCCTTTTCTCTACTTCTCCTCCTCCCTCCCCACCTTTTCACCCCCTTTACACAGGATATAATATCCAGGCTCCCCTTTGGCACACCTTGCATAAACTTGGCTCACACAGACGAACACAACACTAGACAAACCCTATGCATTACAAGCCGAAGGCAAGAATGCCTCTTCCCCCACTCCACATGTAAATGAAAAACACACAGAATCAAAGACACGACGCTAGACAATGGAAAATTCCCCCTCAACTCTCTGTACAATAACTTGAGTCCCTGCAACACCCCGGTATAAATTGTCCCGCATTGTTCCCCCAGCATTTCCGCACACACTACTACAGGCTTGAGTGCTGAGCAATCTCGAGGCACACCCAGACAAGAAAACAAAACATATTGTGTGAGCACAGGAAATGCTTTCGCCCTATAATAAGCAGTTTTCAGACTACAAAAGCGAGGAAGAAAGTGTGATTTGTCACTCCATGACGAAACACAAGTCAGCGGGGCGGGAAGGGCGTCCGCTTACAAAGCTTCTCACAATACAGATCTAATCCACTCCTCAACTCATCGGCTCCAAGGCTCCTGCCTAGATAGAGTCCCCAGCAAAAGCTGCCGGTGAGGAAGATTGGAGGATTGAGAAGGAAGAGAGAATTAATTTCCATTCTGATAAGACTTCACTTTCCTCTTCTTCTGTCTGCTCTGGCGTCCTTGAAGTAAATTATGTTGGCTTCTCGCCATGTATGTAATTTGCATAACTTCGAATCCCATATTATTATGGTGAACATTATTGTATTGTGTACCTTTGTTAGTCTGTAGAATGAACCTCGCACAGCTCGGGTTGTTCCCAAATGGAGACAGACTGATAGGTTGATAGACAGACAGATAGGTAAGTTGATAGACAGACAGATAGGTAGGTAGGTAGGTAGGTAGGTAGGCAGACAGGTAGGTAGGTAGGTAGATAGATAGATAGATAGATAGATAGATAGATAGATAGATAGATAGATAGATAG